ACATTGCTTTGGTGTAGAGTTTTTTAAAGTCTGAAATGACCTGCTGGTCCATGGGCTGGAGGAGAGGAGTGGTATTCGGGGGCAAGAACTTTACTGTGATGAACCCAAACTCCTGCAGAATTAGGTCATCCAAGTTTGGAAGATGAGCAGGTGCATTGTCCATTACTAGGAGGCACTTGAGATCCAATTTCTTTTCCAGGAGGTAATTCTTCACACTAGGGCCAAACACTTCATTGAACCACTCGACAAAAATTTCCCTCAAGATCCATGCCTTATTATTAGATCTCCAAAACACACACAATTTACTCTTCATAACATTGTTTTTCCTGAACACTCTGGGATTTTCAGAATGGTAAACTAGTAATGGCTTCACTTTGAAATCGCCACTAGCATTAGCACAGAACATGAGTGTCAGCCTGTCTTTCATAGGCTTGTGTCCTGGCAGTCCCTTTTCCTCCTGAATAATGTACGTCCTCTTTGGCATTTTCTTCCAAAAGAGGCCTGTTTCGTCACAACTGAACACTTGTTCAGGTTTCAGTCCTTCAGCCTCTATGTACTCCTTGAATTCACTTACGAATTTTGTAGCTATCATGCCTTATCACACTGTGTATGCCACTACGGTTCTTAAATCTCTCACACCAACCTTTGCTGGCCTTAAATTCACTCACATCACCACTATTTGCAGGCAATTTCTTTACAAGATCATCATGCAACTGACTAGCCTTTTCACAAATAATCGACGTCATAATACTACCTCCTGCTAATTGTTTCTTGTTTATCCACACCAATAATAACTTCTCAACCTCTTCGAGTACTGGTGATCTCATTTTTGTCAGCATATTTACCCCCTTTGCAACAACAGCTTCCTTGATTTCCTTTTTCTTGGCCACGATGGAAGATATGGTTGTACAGGATTTGTTATACATCCTGGCCAGTTCGGCCACACGTACGCCACTTTCATATTGTTCAATGATGTTTTTCTTAAATTCAATCGTATTTCTCACCTTCTTTACCAAAGGCTTAGCACTAGGAGCTTTCCTTGGAGCCATGGTAGCTTATTTAGCACTTGCAAGCACTAAAATGAATGGAATACGTATTATGAAATATTTCGTATGAACATGTGAGGGGAGCTTCGCTCACTGGTAAACAATGGCACACTGGCTGGGAAGGGAGGCCGAGGCGGCTCAGAGCCGTGAGTACACGTCCAGGACGAACGACGATTAGCGAGTCAACCGACTATTTGCGAGCCAATGTTTGGACTAAAATAAAGTGACAATTTCCGAAAAGGACGACTATCGAGCCCGACGATTATCGAGGGACCACTGTATACAGGTCTCCCTCAACATTCGCGGGGGTTAGGGGATCAAGAGCCCCATGAATGTTGAAAAATCGCGAATGTTTGGTGCCCCAATATATTGCAGGGAAATATAATAAAATAATAAAATGAAATAATCCATGTATATACATGTATATACGTACATGCTCCTCCCACTCATATATTTGTCCAATCTCTTTTTAAAGCTACCCAAGGTCCTATCAAAGCTAAAACCTTGGGTAGCTTCACATTTAGGTTGGATAAATACACAAGTGAGAGGTGGTTGGATTTGAATGGGTCTTGCATGCGAGTAAATAGAATGTTCAAAGCTTATTGCTTGGGTAGCATTTATTCTGTTATTGGGCTGGATTTGTGAAGGACCTGAATAGTATGGACCAACAGGTCTACTGCAGTGTTCTTCCTTTCCTTATGTTCTCATGAACAATCATAAAATACGTACCTGAGAACATCGTAAAATATTGTACTGCCTCCACTACTGCCTCGTATTTTTATATAATTTCTTTCTTCAATTCTTTCGTGCTTCTCAGTTTCTTTACCAAAATTTATTTGGGCCCATGGTTAATTATGTAGCAGTCACAGTCAATCAACAAGCACCAAACACAATGAATTATTGTGAAATGTTTGGAAGAGCGCAGAGGATAATACTCACTCCAGCATAAACAAAGCCATACTGACTGACGATGCCTCTATCACCCACTGCTTCAACCCTCGTATTTATATATTATTATTATTATTATTTATTATTATTATTATTTATATTATTATTATTATTATTATTATTAGCAGTCATGAATGAGTTGACATTATTTATACTGTAGTTTAATAAATAATGAACAAACAAAACACTCACCACTCGTAAGGCAGACGAACTCTGATGACTTGTGATGATTAAAAAAATTTAAATTATAATTCTTTATTTCTCTATTGATATTACATGCAGTTACTGATGACAGTTGAATGGAGATGATTATATGGAGTGTAACTGCATGGCATGAGACATACTTTCACCACCACACAAACAGCAATGACCGACTCGCACAGTGGCTGGAGACTGACTGAGTGGTGGGTGGGAGGGCTGGCTGCCAGTTGTTGTTATTATTATTGTTATTATTAATAACATGTATTATTATTAACATGTATGTATTTAATAACATGTTATAAATAATAATAGTACATATTATTAATAACATGTATGTTATTAAATACCATTGCCTCAATCACTGCCTCTACCACTCCACTCACACTCAATCTACAAGCACCAAACACAATGAATTATTGTGAAATGTTTGGAAGAGCAGGGAGACTAATGTTTACTCCAGCATAAACACTGTCACACTGACGATGTGTCAACCACTCCCTCGTATTTTTGTACAATTTCCTTCTTCAATTATATCATATTTATTATTATTATTATTATTATTATTATTATTACTATTGTTATTATTAGCTGTAGCAGAAATGTTTAATTCTTTGCAGTGTTCAAGAGTAAACACATGATGTCACCATCTAATACCTGTCCGAAAAGCCATTCCAATATGCAGTCATGAATGGGTTTACATTATTTATACTGTAGTTTAATAGCAAATAACGAACAAACAAAACACTCACCACACTGAGTGGTGGGAGGGCTGGCTGCCAGTTGCGGGGGTCGGAGGGAGGGTAGTAGGGACTCGCAGGTGGCGGGAAACTTAAATATGATTTGGCGGCTGGGAATTTGGTGGCTGGGAATTTGGCGGTTGGGAATTCGCGAATGTGTGAAGCCCGTGAAAGTTGAAAACGTGAATGTTGAGGGAGACCTGTATACACCTACCATCCGACTTACGACCTGCTCGACTTACGACCTGCTCGACTTACGACCACTCGACTTACGACCGTGTTTTTTATGCCAAATTTCTGGGAAATAAACAACTATTTGTGTTGTACACAGTGTTTATCCTAAACCTTACGGTATAAAATACAGTACTAACAACATATAAAGTAAAGTAAAACATGAAATACCAAAATAAAACAATAAAATAAAGTCATTACAAAAATGTTTTGTTGATATTCAGTAGTAAAGTTCGACTTACGACCGGTTTCTCGGAACCTAACTCGGTCGTAAGTCAGATGGTAGGTGTGGATAAGAGGTAAAAGGAGAGATTCAGTGTTGGCCCCAGCTTAATCTACAGCCGGTCATGCACAGCTTCTTCATAAACTGATGATAGGTTCTGTATTGATTCTCTTCTACTGTGTTTGCTTCCTAAACTGACAGTTTGCTTGTTATAGGTTTATAAGTCTGGGTAGCATTAGGTGAGTGGTGTGGTACTGGGCTTATTTGCAATATGTAGCGGGGGCAGTGTATCTGGTTAGGATTAAGTTTTCCATCAAATTTCATACTTTTGGTGTCATTACTTTCAAAAAAAGAATTCTCTACCATTTCAAAAGAAAATTTTTATTCTTAAAGTGGACACTGAGAGCAATATTAACCCTTTGAGGGTTTCGGCCGTACTAGTACGGCTTACGACCCAGGGTTTTTGACGTACTAGTACGCCTAAATTCTAGCGCCCTCAAATCTAGTGGGAGAAAGCTGGTAGGCCTTCATATGAAAGAATGGGTCTATGTGGTCAGTGTGCACAGTCTAAAAAAAATCCTGCAGCACACAGTGCATAATGAGAAAAAAAAACTTCGACCATTTTTTTGGAATAAAACAGCGACTTTGCAGTGTATTTTTGTATGGTATTTATTGTTGTATTCTAGTTTTCTTGGTCTCATTTTATAGAATGGAAGACATATTACAGAAATGGAGATGATTTTGACTGGTTTCACGATGAAAAGTACCTTGAAATTGAGCCCAAAGTAGCAGAAATGTTCGATTTTTACCAAATTTCAAAAGTAAACAAATCATGCCAAGCGTCCAATACACGTCAACTGGTGAGCCTAATATTCTTTCACAAGTGCGCCAATATTATTTATACCATTTTTTACACTAATGCAGTAGTCTGCATAACAGTAAATCTTCTATTTTTGTGAGAATAAAAATTCAAAGTGGAAAGCAAAAGAATATAAGAGAGGCCTTGAGAAGTGACTAATGGCCAGAGGAAATATAATTTTAGTGCAGGAATGTCTTTCTTGTTTATTCTGAACCCTATTCGGAAATTGGCATCTTTTGAAATTTGTGTGAAATTGGCAAAATTGCTAAATTCTGACCACTGTACTGGATAGTTGAAATTGATAAATGAGTGGTTTCTTGCAACCATTCGATAGAAAAAATGGAGTTCAAGCAAAATATTCATGTTTTTTGTCGACTAATACAGTGGAATTGGCTGAAAAATGGGGCTCAAAGTGGGCAAAATCGCCGATGCGTAAACATTGCTGAGACCGCTAACTTCGCGAGAGCATAATTCCGTAAGTTTTCCAAAAAATTTCAAACTTTTGGTGTCATTATGATCGGGAAAAGATTCTATATCTTTTCACAAGAGAATTTTTTTTTTTTTTTTTAAATTTGGCCGACCCTGAGAACGAGTCTCGGAGAGGGCCTGTCGACCCTCAAAGGGTTAATGTCAGGGGTCTCGACAGTGAAAAGGTTAAAAGGAATATTGTACATTCATTCTACAAAACTTAATAATGCCTTCTGTCATCCCTGCACTCTCCTCACTACTTTCAATATCTGAAGTCCTTTACTGACCTGTCTTCCGAGGACACTCGTCGTCTTGATCTGAGGAAAAGTAGCCCTCTGAATGATAACCTCCACCTCGCCGCCCCTGCTGGAGACCGGTGGCTCCAATGGTTCCACTCCGGGGTCGACCAACAGGAGGTTTCCCCGAATGCTCCTCCACTTTCTGTAATAGCAAAATGTTAATGGAAGATAATTAACAAATATTCAAACTTATATAGTATATTCTGCATTTAGTGATCATTTGCTTGATGAATTTTGCCTAATGACTAAGGATATACATGTATAAGGGAACAATGTCATTTACTCATCAGCTACCTCCCTGTTTAGTGTCAGCTTCGCACCAGACACACATACCTAAGCCAAGCTTGTAAGTTACCTGTGACTATTTTCAAGAGCTTTCTTACCCTTACAGTCCAACCTGTGGCCAGGCATTCCTGTAGATTGCCTATTCAAATAGGCTACTATTGCTGGCTGCTATTACTTGGCAGACGATGCAACATCCCCCCAATGAAAAGCAGGGTGTCACTAGCACGTTAAGAGACAATACAATAAGTGTCAGGGGCCCGAGACTGTTCAACTGCCTCCCAGCATACATAAGGGGGATTACCAATAGACCCCTGGCTGTCTTCAAGCTGGCACTGGACAAGCACCTAAAGTCGGTACCTGACCAGCCGGGCTGTGGCTCGTACGTTGGATTGCGTGCAGCCAGCAGTACTCCACCTTCTAAAAAGAGACGTTCTAGACAAAGTCGCTGATGAGGGCATTTCCCCCATCCCACCTGACAACTTCCAGGCTCAGCGCTCAGTGTTTGTTGCATGCATCATGCGTGAATACACTGACGTTGAACTCGCGGATGGAATCAACCAAGACAACTCCGAATTCACGGTCCTCAAGGCTTTCAAGTTTGCCAAGAACTCTGTCAATCAGCAATCGCTGAAACTTATCCTTGAGTCACCTGAAGGGGCCAAATATATGTCCAGGGCCCTGAAAGCTTCGGCCCCAAATCACCCAGATCAATCAGCATGGAGGATTTTTTCCCATTACCCAAATGCTTAAAATGCTACCCTTTTGGTCAAACACAAAAAAAATGCACCAAAGTGAATCCTATATGCAGCACTGTGCGGTTTGCCCATGTATAAAAGGGACGCCCTAACAGAAATAAACCCAATTACCCTTTTGTGGCGGGTCCCCCTTCGTCTCCCCTATTTCCCCTCCCGGGAAAAAACGAAGTCCGCAAACCCCTTTGAAAACAAAAAACTGCCCAAATGCCAAACAAAGGCAGCTCACTCTCCCCCCCCCAATGTCCCCAATTTACCCCAAAACCTGCCGAACTCCAGCAATGTCTTACGCACTCATGCAATCACAATGCCGGGATCCCCAGCCCCCCCCCCAATCCATACTCCGGGCCCCCCACCACCCCCAAGGGGGCCACCTCCTACCCACCCCCCCGGCCTCACCCAAAGAAGGGGAAATAAGAGCACAGCAACTTCTTTGGGGCTAAAGAATGGCCCAAGGGGCAACGACCCCCTCTGCTCACCATCCTTAATGAGTTGTTCATTGCAAATGGCATTACCCCATAATCATCTCCGACTCAGGCGCCCATACATGAGCCCCAAAACCCCATACCCCCGCCACACCAACCACCACCTGCATGGAACCAAAAAACCCCTGCATCTGTACCACTAGCCACAAAACCCAAACCCGCCATGAGGCTACCCAAGGGGACAACCGGCCCCACCGCCACCCCATGTGAGATATCCTCTGAAAAAAATTTTTTAAGGAACCCAATTTTACTAAACCCCCAATGTCCCCAATGTCACATCGTCGAAAAACCGATGAGACTGACGTCCCAACCACCCAAAACAACTCCGACCCTGATTTGCCCACGGGCCTAACGGACCAACGATTCAGACTGTTTCAGATACAACCTGCCCAACAGCACAGACAGCCCCAATTTCCACTCAGAATCCACACAAGACTACAATCCCCCCCCCTCCCGCTTTCCCCCAACAAAAGCGCACACAACCCCACTACTGTGCCACCAAACACCCACCTGCTGGCCAGCAACTCTCCCAAACACAACAATAGGGGATCACAATTCTGCAAATAAACACCATCACTTTTCAACAACCGTTACCTCCTTGAACCCGAACTCGAACCACAACCCGACTTTATCCCTTAAATGAAACACAGCCAGCCCTGCCCACATAAAGATAGTGGTACTCAACTTTTTGAGAAATCCAGGGGACCCAACAGGGGGGGGCCATCTTAGTGAAGCGGGGGCAAAAATTCCGAAAACATAATGTCGACAAGGACAACGTCCTGCGTTAAATGCCAACATCCATGGAGACTCCTAGAAAATCACGGGGTACTTCCCTCCCAGACAACCGTAAATCGAATCCATTCCCTTACACCGACTTTCAATGAAACATCCCCACCGTCCAAACGGGGACTTAAATGCCCCCACCCTGCTCTCGTCAATTGTAGCCACCCTCCCCCAAGGTGACCACGGGGGAAACAACTATATCACAAAAGGCCGCGAAAGACCTCAAATTCCAAAGGCCCATTCTTCAAGTTATTTGGGGGCCCATCACCCACACCCCAGAGTAGTCCTCACCAACAGAGACTTGACTTTTTTCCACTGAGAGCTCTAGGGGGCAACGTCGGATCTGACACACCCCTGTGGTAATCGAGCTGCAGTCCACTCCGTTTTTACCCCCCCCCCTAAACCCAACTGAGGAGCTGGGTTTTTCGACCCCTTTAGACCTTTCCCTTAGGTAATGATCAAACCATCTCTCTAAAAAAAAAAGACCACCCTGCATGCAATAGACGGGGCAATTAACCCCCTTTCGCGCCAAAAAATAAAGAGGCCACACAAGCTTGCTGCCACTAACAACGTCCAAATTTACCAACAATAAAAAACCAACTAGGGAAAAAAAGGGACAGAAGAACAGTACCAATTAATTGATAGACCCCCTCCTCACAGGGCAACCCCCCCGGAAGCCCTACAAGACAAGAAGAGAGCTAATCGCCCTAAAAACCCCACAAAAAAGAGATCTTTGGGAATATTTTGGGTGCCCGGGGCAAAACCAGTACAAACGCCCCCCCTGACCAATTCTGGAGCACGATCTGCAGACTACTAGGGCCAAACACACTCCCCCCAAACCCTCTCTCACCCCTTCACCGACCAAGGGGTGAGGTAGTGACTACCCAAATTGCACCCACTGGACCAAGCCAAGCTAATGGGGGAAGTAGGAGAAATTCTCTCACACAACGACAGCAGAAAATTTAACAAAACCCCAAACATGGGGGCAACCAATGGTGGGCGAAACCTAGAAGACTTCCATCCCCTTCCATTTAATTTACCCAGCTACCCTTTTAAGACGAACACCCCCCACCAGACCTTTACGCTCGAGAATATCCCAAATCATAGGGCGACTGAGAAACACAGCTCCAGGCCCCTCAGGCATAAGATAAACAACTAAAGTACCCCCCCCCGTAAAGCAAGATGTCTCTGGGGAATATCTACAATGCCCTCTTGGCATCCGGGCCTTCCCAGGGCTTTTTAAACACTAAGAGATCTTCATTTTCCAAACCAAACAAGGACAATGCAATCCCAGAACTACAGACCCATCTCCCTACTCGAAGTCACAGGGAAAGTTTTTTTAAAGAATAATCTCCAACAAATCAACTATTTCAGGAGTTCAACCCCTATTCTCGAAAGGCATTCGGCTTCAGGTCCCCCCGCAGCACCACATGCCCCTAAAAAATCTCTATGATGCTGGGCCAGCCTGAAGAAGCAAAAGGGGAAACCCGGGCCCCAACGCCACCCGGGCGTTCACAAGGCCTTCGACAGCCTTTGGGACGACGGCTCATTTACAAACTTGTAGACCTCCCTGATCACAACTGGAACTTTCTCAGGCTCATCTACAACTTTTTAACAGGGAAAAAAAATCATCCCCACCTTCCAGGAGCAGAAGCAACCCCCTTCACACCAACAGCAGGGGGTACCCCCAAAGGCCCCTGCCTCAGCCCCCTCCTCTTCAACATATACGTCAATGACCTCCCCCAAACCCAAAATACGACACAATCATCACCCAAATTGCAAAGAGTCATCCATGTTGTCTCCTCCACCCCCACAGCGTGCAAAAAAGCATAGGAGAGCAATCGAAAAATGAATGAAAACAAATAAACGCCAGTGGGGGAAAAAAAAGGAGAAACACCCAACCCCGACAAAGTCCTCATCACACCGTTGGGTGCTTACCATCAACCAAAAGGGGAAAAGGGGGTTTCCATCAGAGTACCGTATTGCTGAAGGAACCCAAACAAATCCCAATACGAGATCGGGAGATTACTCAACTCTACAACCCACGTAACCAAAAAAGTAAACCTAGCAAAGCCCGCCTTGCCAAATTTTCGATTCAAACAGCCCCTCCCCCATCAAACTTCACCTGTACAAATGGGTGATCAAACCCCTTTTAGAATACCCCTGCGTACCCATTCGCTCACAAAACCAAAACCAACAGCAAACTCCAAAAAGCCAAAAAAACCCCCCACTTCATCACGAAAAACCAGACTCAGAGACAGAATCAGATCAGGGACCTACACATACAAAGAGAATCCCGCAAACAAAGTCCAATTTAAAAAACTTTCTAAAAACAACTATATACACGCAGGAACTCTACATGCCTACGAGAAATCCCCCCCCAAACCCGTGAACACAACTACTATACATCACCACCCCCCCCCACAAAACCCAAAGAAACCCTCCAACAAAGGGTTCGAGCTTTACCCAAGGGAACTTCCCTCGTCCCAATACTTAACGACCTCCCCGCAGAAGAAGAATGGATACCCCAGAACCCTTTTATGTCCGTAACCGGGCAAGCCCCCCCATCCTGGGTGACCCACCTCATCAACCCAAAACCTCACAAAGACCTCGTTACATCTCTTTCGACAATACAGCAGACAGGAGTTTTCCGGATTGGACACAGTAACAAGGGGACACAGTTGGAAGTTGAAGACACAGATAATCCAGGGATGTTAGGAAGTATTTCTTAGCCACAGAGTAGTCGTAAGTGAATATTTTGGGAACAATGTAGTGGAGCAGGGTCCATAATAGCTTTAAGCAAGGGATGATAAACCACGGCTCAGGGAGAAGACCTA